AAAGTGAATAATTATACTTGTTGACTGTCTGATAGGAGCATGGCATATACAATAAACAAAGGTTTTCATTAAGAAGGTACTGTTATAATAAGAGGTTTTTTTAAAGCTCTGCTAAATGTGAGCTCATTATTGATGGGGCTATTGCATTGTTTTTAAATTATTATTGTTACCATGCATTTATCGCCAAGTGCCAACATACTCTGCAGCGCTTTACAATTCTAGAAGGGGATCTTTGACAGTAAGTAATTACAAATATTGACAAATATTGAGAAAAGCCCTGCTCAAACCATGTGTAGTGATCTCTTCTAGGTCAAAGTCCTAAAACTACAAGAGACCCCATGAAAACACAGTTTTATCATCATATTCACTAGGGCAATGTACTAACTTTTCTCCCATATTACGTAGAAAATTGTTTTACACCCTTAGCCTGCACAACATTGTATAATAGGAAGAGCTCATACGCAAACAAAAGTATATAGACAATTACTCTCAGAAAATATTTTCCCAAAATCATGCTTCACTTTTCACAACATTCTATTTTCAAAAATAAATAAAAAATATCACCTCGTATAGAAATCCCTCCACATCCTCGTACCTCATTATCTCTTCTCTCTCATATCTTTACCCATCCCATGCATTCCCTCTCCTCCACATTTGTTACCACAATCCTATACCATTTTGCTCTGTCTCGAATCAGTCCCAGTCCTCAACTACTGAAATTAGTTCATACCCCCACATCCAATCAGCAACCTCACTTTAATTCTTTAATAAACCCCCAAGGAACCAACTCTTCACTGAATTCACAAAAGCATTCCGAGATACTCCTTAACACAGTCTAGACTTGTGCACAAACCCGTTCAGCTGTGCTGAACAAGTCAAATGCATTTTAATTGATGGGCTATTTAATCAATTCATTTGTGCACTAAATAACAATCATTTGATTCATTAAATGTAGCTGAACGTGATTTGTACACAAAACTGATACAGTTCTTGGGATGACTCCTTTCCCACGTTAACTGATCCCTTCCCAGAATCCTTTTCTTCCCAACTGTGTTATCACCTCCCTGATCACTATCTCCGCCAGCTTTAATTCCACTGGATTTTATGAGCTCCTGTCTTGCAGGCAGAGCAAGCGAAGCCTTCTTTCTCTAAGCCCTACATGTCTCACTGCATTCCCTTTTGATTGGACCGTGTGAGTCTGCAACTACACAGAAGTCCGTCAATCCAGCGAGGGGAGATTCCAAGATTCCAAGACTCCGTCCTTCTCATGAGAAATTCCCATAGAAAATGGAAAATGATTTGTGGGACTTGTTTCTATTTAGCAATTAGAATGTTAATGGATTCAAACACTGGTGTTGGACCTGGCTTACAGTTCATCTCACAGCTGTGCTGAGACCATGTTTTTGTTCCGATGGGTCAATAAAACATTTGTGCACAGACCTTATGCATTATCCTGCTGAAACAGAAAATGTCCGTCTCCAAACTTCTTCCACAAAGCTGGACACTCACAATAATATGGAACATTAATGGACGCTGTTACTGCGATGTCTCTTCACTAGAAATGAGCGGCTTAGCCTAAACAATGAAAAACAAACGAAGACCACCACTTCTCTTACAATTTTACAGGCAGCACCTTGCAGTCAGGCAGGTATCGAGCTGCTAAAAGAGTTAGTAAAGTTTTGGTTAGACAGGCTGTGTCTATTTACTGAGTATTTAGGACTTATGCAATTCACAGGTTAACAATAACAGCTGAGGTAAAACAATTATTCATGTTTTTCTTCTTTTTGTTTTGCTCCACGATCGATTCTGTCCCATACATTTCTACGAGTGGAATGTTTGTCAAGGGCTTTACCCTGCATTGAGGTGTGTTTGTAACCAGCACATAATGCAAACCTTCCACTAATTTTAAGATTTATTCTAAGATGAAGTGCTGGCACACCAACAAAAGTTACCAGAAAGAAAACTATACACGTGTTATCTTCAGAAGATGACTAAGGAGCAATCCTCTCCCTATTGATATACAAAATGACTCCTCATGTCCACTGAACTGTGTTATTACTTCACAGTGATTGTCAATCTGAGTAATATCTTATTGAACAATAAAATCAATGCACACATGTAATCTATGTCCAAGGACGCTGTTAACATGGGTAGCATCCCTCGTTATTTGCTTCTAAAAGAGGACTAAGCTTTTAACATGACAAACTGTGTGCTATATTTTCCATTTTAAATGACATTTCTTTACATTTTGATGAAACATCCTTCCTGTCTCCAGAGATGAACTTCCATCATTACAAGTATTAGCACAGCGCGGAATAATTTATGTAAAATGGAGAGGGCCCTGTGGTGAAATCATTTTGCACTTTTTCTAACCTGTGGTTTTAGATTTTGGCATGAACAACAACAATTTTGTTTGTTTTGTCACTCATCTCCACGACATAAAGACGCTTTTTCCTGAATGACTTTGCCCTCATTGTTGCTTGGAGCTGTCTTCTTCTTCATTTTAAATACCATTACCTGCAAGTGGTTTCATGAATAATTACAGATTCAGAGATCTGTCAACTGTGAGGTTTTTGACCAATTTAATTAACCATCAGAAACTCCCTATATTGCTTGTTATGTATTTTCTGAGCAGAGTTATAGGATTAGAGAAACTGCAATTATTAGATAGGTATTATAAGAGCTCTGCTATGCCATGCTCCCTCTGCTATGCCATGCTCCCCACATGGATTACTATGATTATTAATCCCAAACTTTTCCTGAGGTCATCTTCCTTACTTCTCTCTCCCGTTCGAACAGGTCTTCAGATTCCCAAGTAATTAATACTTCTAAATTGCTTTGTTGTCACTACTCTATTGTTTTATTGTATCTTTATTGTATATATCTTATTGTATAAAGACATATATTTTACCCTCACCTACCTGGACCATCCTGTCTTATTTTGGAGCTCCACAAATCTCCTGGACATCACCCTTCATGGTGGGGAGTGTACCACCAGAGCCTTACGGAGTGAGATACTTTGCTCCAAAGCTAGTAAGTGTATTTTATCTACCTCACCTACTTCACACACAGTGTGCACTATAAAGTTGTTTTAATCTTTTACATATACTACGGAGATGGCACTGCAACAGCAACATATCCTTAGCTGTTTAAAAGAGCCATATTCTGTGAGTGCAATTCCTATCCACCTATTTTACAAATCTAGATATCTCAAACAACTACACTATATAGTGTTCATCTTCGTGTTCTGTTTTACGTTCACTGGACCATCTCATGAGACCTCGAGCAGGGATTGTTCCACTCAAGCAAATCCCATAGAAGTTATTCAGGTCCATTTTCTGTAAGTGCAACTCCAGTTGTATATTAAGTACTGGCCTATATTACCCACCTGAGGTCACACCAAGGCGATACTGACAACTCCTTTTCTACCACCATCTCATACTTCTTCCGGCTATGAGAGACTCTGACCTGGGTTGTTTGAGGTGCCTTCTTGCATCCACCTGTACTATTTTCAGTGCTGAGCTTTATCATTTTGTGTTTTTCTTTGATTTCCCAACATTATAATGTTCTTCTGCATAATGGGATGGGTTTTGTTCCCATTAACAATGCCCTTATTTCTCGTTATTGTTGTATAAAATATATATATATATATACACAGTATCTCACAAAAGTGAGTACACCCCTCACATTTTTCTAAATATTGTGTTATATCTTTTCATGTGACATCACTGAAGAAATGACACTCTGCTACGTATAACAGTGTACATTTGCTGTCCCCTCAAAATAACTCCACACACAGCCATTAATGTCTAAACTGTTGGCAACAAAAGTGAGTGCACCCCTAAGTGGAAATAAAGTAGTAGCGAATTAATTAATATTTTAATACCGAGCCTTTAGAAGAGAATTACATAAGGTAAAGTGCTCTCCACGTGATTATATATGACACAAAAAACATCCTACAGACATGTTTAATAAAGAATAAGACTCAGACTTGGTGGGTTCCCATTGATGTGAGGATCTGATTGATTTAATGTAAATCTTGTAGCTCTGCTCAGTGTCACAGCGTAAAGTACACAGCGTTCAATTTACCAGGTTTGATTGATTTTATCTGTGCTGGTATTCTTGGGCACAAACATTTTTATACCATATTCAAGTAGAGTTTACAAGAAAACATATATCTAAAGTGTACCTAATGTACATAAATGGCATGGTGGCACTTTACATGGGGTTATTCGCTTTGAACTATATTGAATCAAAATCTGAAATTGCAAAATATTGGAAACATAGTTAATTTAGAGAAATTATCCAGCTCAGCCCCAGTCTCAGCATGGCTGTATTCACCTTAATTTTGCTGTTCGGATTTCAGTTTGATACTGTCTTGTCTCCCGCTGTTTTTAACTAAACCCTGAATTGTAACTCTAAATGGGAGTTGGAATTCAAAGCAAATTTCAAATTGTTGGTAAAATCATCCAATTTACAATCACAGTTGACTTTGAAGAATTGTTTTACTAAAAAGTTGAGCAAAAAATTTGTATTCACTGAATTTAAAATGATTCACTTAGAATTCCTGACAATTCACGTACGTTGTTGATTTTCCCTATAGATGATGTTTTGGTCAACTATTAACAAATATATTAGTTTTTAGTCAGTTGCGTATACACGTCTGTGCTCAGAATTTCATGTATATCACCTGTTTAGAAAATGTGTTTAAACCAAACATGTGCACATATGACATTAAGCAAATAACGTAGAGCAGGCCCTTTTGCTAACAACAATTACAAGAGGAATAGTAAACTAGTTTATTAATCATTTGCTATGTACAAGTTTAATGAAGAAATTTTACAGGAAACAATTAAAAATATTTTTCCATTTTTTTTTTTTTATAAACAAATAAATACGGTTTTGACAGGACAAGTAACCCCAAAATTCAGTTCCTCCTTGTTTTTAAGTCATGCTATACATCTACGGAAGCAGGATGGCTGAAGCAGACAGATTGCTGTCATTAGTCAGCCTAAGTAACCATCCGATGCAAATTATAACGGCTAGGACACAACATGCCAAGTTTAACCTAGCAAAACATTAGTCAACACTGCGTTCCAAATCAGCAGAAAGTCAATCAAACCTGGAATATAAAGTGTAAGATTATAAAAATGACCAGGACATTGTGTGTGGGTACTTTGTAAAGCACGGTTGTAGAAGAAAGTTTTGAAAGTGGAACAGATTGGTCAGTTTATGTAATATTCCATCAGAATTCATTTTCTATGATAAAGCCCTATTGTGATTAACAGAGACTGTAGCAAATCGAGGATGTGCATTCTAAATACTCCCTGTACAGAAACAGAGACACCCACAACAAGAGACAAACTGTCGGTTTTCAAACACTGTATTATCCAAGGTGCGTGTTTATGGCTGAAGGATCCTATCATGTTAATGGCTGAAGGATCCTATCATGTACTAAAGGTAGGGATGAGTTTTTTATTTTTGCATATACATCATTTAAAGAAAAGTCTATGTCCTTTCAATACTTGATGAAATGATCATTATACTAAAACATCGTTTTGAAGTGACAGCTGTCCGTTAAGGGATATGCAGACAAGCACTTTGCAGGAATTTTATTAATCACACAATGTAACCGCTGCGGAATACGTTGGCGCGTTTACATAAATACCAATAATATTATTAAACATAAGTGTGCACACACAGGTACAGGAACCTTCTAACGCCATAGCCTCTGTAATAAGCAGTTGTCCTGGTGCTCATAGTGTCCTTTTCATCGAGAAACCTTCTCAGTTTCTATGTCCCTGCATGGGTCTCATCACCTCTTATTTTGCAGGAGATTCAGTTTCAGCTGAAAATGTAGAGTTTATGGACGGTGGTTTCCAATGAAAGGAAATCATTTTGTCATATTATGTACGTGCTGGCCGTGAGAGTCCAGACTGTGTATATTATTCATTGACACTTACACGTGTGCGGGGTGAATTAATATATTGATCAGGTATACCTGACTATTGCCGTAAAGGGTTCATTGAAAAATACAGGACACGATAAAAAAAACAATATATTTTAGTTTTTTTTTTGTTTAACAAATAAATATTGTGTTGACCGTAACATGTAACCCAAAAATCCACTTCCACTTTTTTTTTTTATCTCATGCTATATATCTAAGTAAACGGGAGGGCTCACCTACCCAAGAAAGAAACTTCATCTGTGATGGAAACAGAAAGGTGGGAATGGGGAAGAGAAATCCCCCACATAATTAGGGGGAGCGGGGATGGTAGTGGATAGAACCTCGGCCATGTTGGTCTAGGTATTATGCATTGCTGTTTAATACAGATTAAGAAAAGAAAACATTTTGAAGGAGATTGTTATTTTCTTCATACCGATTTTAGATTCATGAAATTTGAGGAAGAAAATTCAGGTAGATAGTATTATTAGTAGTTTGGGAATTTCTGAACTTTTTCTGATAATTGAACAGTTCCTGATGCAAATTTTTGTGATACATTTCCTATTAATATACATTTAAAGGGTAAGGTCTAGTTCCTTAAATATGCAATTTGAAATCTATAACTCATTTGGTCTTTTTTTATTATTATTAATAACCAAAACAAAAACAAACAAAACGTATCTTAGTGCTCCATTGGAACACAGTGCTTCTTCTAGCCTCTCCTTTTAAATGTCCATAATATATTAAAGGAATAGGAGCTTATATGTGCTGGAAAATGCATGGTTTACTCAATTTAAGGAATAACTTGTGAAAAATGTACAGGTATATAAACGCAAATACATCCTGTTTAATATTAGAATTTTCTGATCTGGTTGTAGAGCGCCTCTAAAAAGTCAATTTACATAATGATAACTATTTTAATGAACCAGATCAGTCTCATCTAGTTATCTGGACTCTGGAGTATAAATGCATTATATGGTGCCCTGGTTGTAATAAAATGATACAATTCCTATGAGCAGGATTCCATAGAGTTGAACACTCACACTTGTTTCTGAGAGATGCCGCTTTCAGACAGACAACTACTAAGGACTTTGGACACAGTTAGATTCAGCCATTGATTCTATTTGACTCTGGCATCAGCACGTAATGTAAGTCCCTGAGCATTCAATGCTTCTCTATATGAAGCACTGGAATTCAATGCATCTTACAGAGAAGCACTGGATTGGTCGATTGTGGCAATTGCTACGCTTGCACTGCGTGTCCTCAATGCTTGGAAAATGCTCAGGATTAATGACTTCACGTAAAGCGAATTGGACGTAGAACAGAAGTCTTTCCTGGAACTGGAATAAAGGTGTTTAATGTCTTTTTGCTATTAGTTTTTAAGGGAGACATATTATTCTACAATAAGAAAACAAAGAAACTCATCTAATTATATTTAGATTTTTTTAAAAATAGTTTTTCTTAAAGTGAACACTTCAAGGTTAGAGGTGAATAAAAAAAATATCCATTTAAATGTTTCAGCATTTGTAGAGATCTTTTCTGCTTTCATGTTTTCTAAGGGTCATGGAGATTCTAAGAATCCCTCGACCAATCATTAGTCTCTGAATGTTAGTACATTCTAGTGAGCAGTCCTCCCCAAACCAGTCCTGAGGACCTATTAACAATACAGGATTTATGTATTTCCCATGTTTATGCCAATGGAGATACTGACAAACATGGACTGTTGGTGGGCCATGAGGGCTGGTTTGGTAACCACTGTACTAGAGGGTTTTAGTGGAATGTTACACTTGGTTTTCTGGAGCTGGACTGCTGACCATGTCCCGTGTCCGTTTCTCCAACTTACCTTTAGAACTGACAGTCCAGGTGGTGGACTGGGTGTTACAACTATTGGTTTAATTATCAGGACCCTGATAATTCATAGTAAGTATATGAAGCTCTGGTAAATATATGTTAATATGAGATTTAATACGGAGCAAAGCGATCATTGTATTCATCAAAGAGCCCTTCAATGTCACGTGGGTTCAGGGCACAAATATCTCCTCGAGCTAGATACTACATTCAGAGATGAAGCTTTCTTACACAGATTGGGATTTAGTTGCCAGAATGAGATTTATCTTTGGAAACAGAATCCATTCCAAAACTTTACAGTTGAAATAAACCACTTCCATTACTTCTTCAGTATGGGGGAATGGACTCAACCGTGGCTACAAAATATCACTGCCAAACAGACTAATACAATTTATTTTTTAAGGAAAAAGTGTTTTGCCAGGCAGTTTATATTGAGACATTCACGTGTTTTAAATTCTGACATGGGGCAAAGAATATCCAAATTATGTGATATTTATTTTATTAACCTTGGAAAGAATAAAGCTAGTGTTTATGTGGTTGAGAGCAGAACTTTAAACAAGTTCTATTGGATCAATAACCAATAGTGCAATCTCACCGGCTTTCTTGTTTATAACTTCCTTGGGGATCTTTGAAATAGCAAGATGCTCAGAAGAGCTGACAATTACAATTCTTATTTCACTCGGGTTAATAACCATCCACAAAGAGAATTTGCTGTGAAGTTTATGATGTTAAAAGATAATTTTTAATTAAGAAGCCCAATTAAAACTGCATATTGTGCGCCAACTATGTGACGTTTGTAAACCAACCATACTGCATGCAATATATTTACATAATTAAGACACAAGTAAATAAAATAAAATAAATGCTTTATCTTGTTCCACAAGTAACTTTAAGAAGCTATGATTATTCTGTTTCTCTTTTTTGTGTGTCTCTGCTCTTTCTTTTTCTATCTGCAAAAAGAGTCCCCAGAGCATTACCTACATGTGTTTCACAATTCATGATTTAGGAAGTTAGAAGAACATCCCCTAGCCATGACATATATTTTCCCTGGAGATTCTGGGGTAAAAAATCCTAAATCATACTCTGAGGTGTAGGTTGACTTTCTACCTTGTTAGTTATAAATCAAATAACTATGTGCCTTGATGAACCAGAGTCTTAAATTTCGTTCTGCTCATTCAGTTCGTTCATGTCATTGGTGTAGCTGTCATATTCAGCAGAGCGTGTAGACATCCCCAGGTACTGCCTTAGAAATTCACTAAACCTCTTCTGATTGTTCCATTTCCTGGCCGATTTCCTAACACCAATGAAACCCCCATAGCGTTTTTGGAGATCCTTCGAAGGACCCATAAATTTCCGGTAACTGTATTTCCCTTTTACAAAGCCTCCAAATCTTTTGGACATAGCACTCGAAGGGTTCTGAAAGTCTCCAAATTCATCTGGCTCATTGGTCATTCCAAGTGTTGTCTCTCCTCCATCAATCGTGGTGTCTTCCTCTCCTTGTTCACGAATAAGGTTGCTTATCTTGGACATCCTCTTCTCATCATTGATGTTACTGAGGTCAACCACTTTAGTGAGATCACCTAGCCTTTTAAAATTAGTTGCAAACTGGCTGTCGTCCATGTTGAAAGGTTTAAAATCTTCCTCAAAGCTGTTGAGGCTGAGTTGTATCGAAGACTTAATTAAGACTGTTTTACAGGCCGCCCACATTGTACTCGAATAAATCTTCCCTTCACATTCCACAATGCAAACCTGCAAAGATATGAATGAAGAATTGCATTTATTGAAAAAAAGATCTGAAAAAAGTCAACAAGGACACATTTTGTAGCTACATGCCGTAAATAAATTAGGTATGCCATGATTTCATTGCAAACAAATAAACAGGTACAAGATGGTAAAACAGTGTAAATGTAAATAAAAAAGGCAATGTTTTGCCCGACCCACACAGCGGTCTTTCTCAATCCAAAAAGGTCATCAGTGCAAAAAATAGGTGTATCATCAATTAACACAGCAAGTGGCGTATACAATAACAATAAAATACTATTATATTCAAAATACAGTCTATTAGTGCAAAAGTGTACAGTGCATTAAATTACAAAATAAAATAAATATTATTGAATGAACGTGCATAGTCATGGGTAACTACTTTAGCTTGTTTAAAAGAGCTTTAAATTGTATCTCTACATTGTGCTGACAGTTTTCCTGGCAAATGTATAGATTGGGAGAAAACCCCATTTAAAAATAGTTTTTTTTCCCCCATCTGTTTAATTCTCAGACACTGAATGCCGAGGAACTGAGAGACATAATCCATAAAAATGTCTATCAGGATTAATCAAAGGTTATGTAGAGTGGAATTCAAACATTTTTGAGGAATATCCAAGATTGCAAAGAATGACCACAACAACACAACATTGAAAGAGGGTCTACTGCCACATGAATCTAACCTCAATTAAAATACTCTCAACTAGTAATGCATAGAAAAATATAATTTGCAAACTGCGGTCCCAAGATTAAATTCCACTGATCGATGTATCAATATTTTTGAACAAATCTTTTTAAGCACATATATCTCATAATAACCCTTAGAGGGAAACTGTCAAAACTTACCTGGCCCTCTGCTCCCCCGCTACGATCTCCTTACTGAGGTGGGTATTGCACTTCTGTAACCCCTACCTGCAGTCCACTCGTCTTGATCTCTACATTGATTTGCCCTGCATGAGGACATGTCTCCAAGCAGGGCAAAACTCCTTCATGACACCGACATGCTTGCAATGTTTCAACGTTACTCCGTTTCTATACTCTATAGCCAGCAGTACCGGCTAGATGGTTTCCATAGCAACCACAATGCATGTGCTGTGGTTGCTATTTGTGGAGAGCAGAGCGACCTCCTGTAGGAGGCTTCTTCCACTCTTACTGTCTCTCAGTTCCTCGACATTCAGTGTCTGAGAATTAAGAAACAGATGCGGAAATAAAACTATTTTTAAATGGGGTTTTCTCCCAATCTATACATTTGCCAGGAAAACTGTCAGCACAATGTAGAGATACAATTTAAAGCTCTTTTAAACAAGCTAAAGTAGTTACCCATGACAGGTTCCCTTTAAGAATTGCTGCGTCATCTTGTTAGAACAAGTACTTATTTTTCCTTGCAATTTCTTAAACCCCATTGATATTTTTGAATCATTACGCACTTTGCACATTGCGCCCAATAACGTGACCGCCATATGTCAAACCCTTTACAACTGGCTTCTTTGAAAGGCACATTGTCCTACGTGCTTTCATTCAATTAATCAAAAAGTGTCGATACACTGATATATGGCTCCCAGATGATTCTCATTTTCACAATAAGATGGGACATAATGCAATGAATTAACGACTGCGAGAAGCATCACACATTTGTGGTGGTCTTGTATATGGCTACAACCCATGTAGTCACAGATAGCTGCGATTTCCATCACTACCCCTCGGTTTGATATTGGTCTTCTCAAAACCTAGCTCTTCTGTCATCCCAGTACTACCACATAAAATAAATAATCTTGGCTATCTTTTTCTTCCATTTAAGTATGCCTTATCTGGAAATGGGAATAAAAGATTCTACCTCATCTGTACATTCCATAAATCACAAGCTAAACTTCAACATCCAGTGGGTGCACGTCTCACTGCTAAGAAGAAATTCTTACGGCCTTCAAAACTACCCAGTAATTTTAGTTGATGTAGTGTCACCTGCTTTGTGGTTTAGTTATTAATGTGTAATTCTCATTGAAAGGTCTATTCCTTAACTGCTGATTACCTCTTCAAATAGTGCATAGTGATTTTACTTGAATACAGTATTGTGTCTCTTCACCGCTTGTGCTTTCCTGCACAATCTAAACTCAACTTTTCTTTTTTTCTGTATTCCCACCAAGAATAAAATCTTCAAAAATATATATATTGTCAAAGATAATATAAAAAAAAAGCGTAATAAAACAAAACCATTCATTTTCCATCTTGGATGTGAATTATTTAGAATAGATAGTCTGACGTCTTTAAGTAGTGTTTTTAATTTTTATGAAAGGAAATAACGACGTCTGTTTAGGATAAAACGATTTGCAATAAAAATGACGCTTTAGAATTCCAGATTTTATGTCTTAGATAGCGTGCATAGATCTACCAGTGCGTTAAACTGTGGTCAGTTTTGCTATGTGGCATGTGCGTATGTTGCTAGACTGCATGTTGTGCAGCTTCTTTTAGACAAACAGGAGGAAAAAAATAGAAAAAGCTGAAATAAAATCAAAATTAACAATACAAAATGTACCCAAAGTTATTATATGTATATAACAATACATTTTGAAATTCACTATCCTGCATCACTGGCATATCCCAAAACAAACCTCCGAAAACGCCTGTCTCGTATACATACTGTATGTCTCCTAGTCTATTTGTCACTCACTCATTCTTGAATCTTCCACCCATCTCTCGCCATGTACCGCTCTTCCCGTCCCCACCACTTATGTTTAATTTCCATACATGTGTATGTCTGCCAGTGTAGCTCAGAACATGTAGGGTTCAAGGTGAGCAGAAAGTGAGCTGGTTAGAAGTCTAGGTTCCTGTCCCTTCCCAAGGTGAATTGCCCCAAACCAAGGACTTTAAGGTTTCGTTTTTTTTTGTTTGTTTTTAACAGTGCAAATAAAATAAATTAATGATGACAAAAGTAAACAATATTAAAGGGTTACTCCAAGCACCATGACCACTTTAGTGTTTTGAAGTTGTGATGGTGCCTGGAGTCTTTATGTGCAGCATTTCGCTTGGAAGTGCTACACATACAGAGATTAACAATTTAGCTGCCACAGGTGTAACTCCATCTCTGGTCATAGGGGTGTCATCAGCCATCCCGGAATTAGAGTTCCATGCCGGCTAATGTCAATTCTGTGTATCTTTCATTGCACAAAATGTCAGTCATCGGTTACTAACCAATGAATGTCAATGGCCACTGCTTCCGGCTCCTGCAACTCAGCAAAAGAGTGTCACCGAACCAGCAGCCAGCATTGGAGACCCAGGTAAAGGGGGCAAACCATCGCTAAACGGTTTGCCCTATTACTGAGCAACGAGGCCAGGCTACTCATGGAATCATAACCACTACGTGGGATGTAGTTATTGTAACGGACCGTTTTGCACACAAGGGGTAAAAACCATTTAGGCGATCGTCCCCCTTTCCAGAGATGCAGGCACAGCTATTGTAGAACACCAAACTCACGAACCGCCAATAAGGGAATGCTCCAAACTACCGAACAGCATCCAATATAGCACTCCAAACACACGAACTGGAACCATACGAATCACTGCTAGCAGACGAATAGGAAAAGCATCCAAGCGGCTTACACTCCTAGCAATCAGTCTCTATCAGTGTTCAGTAAATCCCCTCAAATACGAGACAAGGCTCCGTGTTGGGGGTCAAGCAGTGGTCTGTTTAATGAGGGCTACCTGCCCAGTATTTATGCAGGTCTCCCACCTGGTGGACACTCCCCTAGGGGACCAAATGAGAGACTGTGACAAGGGACAGACAAGTAGACAAATAGGACACACAGTCACATTGTATTCCCACAATGCATCCTGGCTTCTTCCCCTCTGCCTTGGAGATAATTGAGAAGTAATTCAATTATCTCCCAAGACAAAGGCAAATCGCCATTATGCACATGGGGATACTAACACATGGATTACTATTAAAATACACCATGTGAGACACATAACAGCATACATTTAACATATCCCCAGATAGCTCAGGTCTGAGCGCACATTATTAAGCGAATGGTGCTCAGACCACACGAATACAGGTTAATCGCCATGGAGCTAAAGTCTTTACACAGTCAGTTTCATGCGAATGGGCTCCATGGGATTCCTATCTGGGGTATAACATATTCCAGTAAAACTACCGAACGCCGGGCCGTTCGTGCACTTTCACCGACCAAGAAGGGAGGTCGGCGGCTTCAGCGGTGTTCGCGCAAAACTGTGTCCGATTTTAGTTCATTGAATTAAGCGTCGAACACCGCTGTGCATTCGCATGTTTAAAATGGCCGCGACCTTGTGTTCGTGATACGAATGGCGGCCACCCAGCATTCGTCAATTAAGCTGTGGTTAACCGCAGCTTCAGGGAGGCTAATTGCCGGCACACTCCAGCTCCCAGGTGGTCCAGTCATTCGTGCGGTTGTTCGGTAGATTGAATCTACCGAACACCAGGCAGAAAAGAACGAATAAATATTTTCTGCAGGTACAAAAGATGTCTTTTAACATGGGGCCATAGTCCAAAGGCAGCAGGTGAGCAACCAGGCTTCTCCAATGCAATGTGGCGAGATTGCTCTCGTCACAGTGTTTGGTGTAACCCTTTAAGCAGCCTTGCTGGCCTGACTAATCTTTACAGAATAGGATGCCTTAAGTGTTGAAACATTTTGCAATAATAATTGCATTGTGTGACCCTCTGACCTTCATAATAGAGATCACTGTTCTAGAGATTAGAGATTTTTTTTTAAATTAGCCTCAAGATGTAATACTTTTGTTCATTGGTCAATAATCAATCATACATTGCTCGTAGCACTTTAAATACATGTATGTCTACTAAGATGGAATGGAATGTGATTTCCAAGTGTATTCAATGTAACAGTGTTTTATATTTTATGTTTATGATTGACATTTTTTATGGATCTCTTTGCATAAACACTTTGAAGTAAAAATTCATCAGTCTTTTTTTTTATATATAGTATATTATAATAACACATTGTCAATCTG